CCAGGTGGATAGTGGCACATGCCTATAATTGCTGCTACTTTGGAGGCTGAGGCAGAAGCATCTCAAACTGAAGGTCAGCCTAGCATGCTCAACTGTGTTTAATCCCCGTTATCACAAATAAAACAAAGAGATGCCAACAACAAAGGGGTTCCTGTCACAGAAGTTCCTCTAGCATTGAGCTCAAAGACGCTCCGGGGATTCTCTAGTCTTACACATAACTCAGAGTCTTGGTAGGGTCCAGGCTTAGCCTCTGAGCATCCAGCTGGAGGGACTTACTAGGAACTGATGGGGGGAGCTCGTGAAATGACAAGGAGTCTGTAGGATGTAGGAACTGGGTGATTTGGGTTAAGGTTATAACCATGGACACCTCTTTGGAGGGTCTGACATCTCTGTAACCCCGGCCCCCTATGTCTGTATCTTAGAACCATGGTGACAGCCGTGTGACACTGTTTGAGGGGGAAAACTTCCAGGGCTGCAAGTTTGAACTCAGTGATGACTACCCATCACTGCCTTCCATGGGCTGGACCACCAAAGACGTGGGTTCCCTCAAAGTCAGCTCTGGAGCGTGAGTCCTGGAGCTGGAATGGGGGCGACAGGAAGAGTGGGAAGTTCATAAGAACAAAAGAGAAAATGGGGGGTGATGGAGAATGCTGGAGGCTAACAGAGAGTGAGGGTGGGGAGGGAGAGAGGAAGTAAGAGGAGGGAAAGAGGGGGAAGAGGCTAGGCAGAGAGGAAGCCAGGGGAGTATGTGGGGGTGGGGGGCTGAAAACTTGGGTAGAGAGGAAATGAAGGGTGGGTGTAGGAGACAGACTAAGACAGATGGCAGGAAGACCCAGAGTAAAAGGCAGAGTTGAAACAGTGGATTTGGAGTTGGCTATTGGTAGCTGAGACAGGGGACTGTTGAGAGGATCACACAGGTGGGGGTGATGCAAAGCCGACTCACTACCATTTTCTTTACTATCCTAGATGGGTGGCCTACCAGTACCCTGGCTACCGAGGCTACCAGTACGTTTTAGAGCGGGACCGGCACAGTGGGGAGTTCCGTACTTACAGTGACTTTGGCACACAGGCCCATACCGGACAGCTGCAGTCCATTCGAAGAGTCCAGCACTAGGCTTCAAATTCACAGTCTTCATCACCCCTAAGATTCTCAATAAAAGCTCTTGAATCTACTTGTTCTTGCCTCTTTCTTTCTTGTGCTCTCTCTCTCTCTCTCTCTCTGTGTGTGTGTGTGTGTGTGTGTGGTGGGTGGTGTGTGTGTGAGTGTGTGTGTGTGTGTGTGTGGTGTGTGTGTGATGGAACCTAGAGCTTTATGCATTTGTGCATTCAAGGCAAATAATCTCCCTCCTCCTCCTCCTCCTCCTTTCTTCTTCTTTGGTTTTCTTTTCTTCCCCCCCCCCCCAGACAGGGTTTCTCTGTGTAGCTTTGTAGACCAGGCTGGCCTCGAACTTGGAGATCCGCCTGCCTCTGCCTAAATGTGTAGCCCAGGCTGGTCTCAAACTCGTGATCCTCCTGCCTCTGCCTCCTTCAGCAAATCCTACCCACGTGCACCACCACAACTGGCTTCTTTGGTTTTTCAAAGCAAGATTTATTTGTGTAGCCTTGGCTGTACTGGAACTCTCTCTGTAGACTAGGCTGGCCTTGAACTCAGAGATCCACCTGCCTCTGCCTCTCAGGTACTGGGATTAAAGCTTATTCCACTACAGCCTAGCAGGTGTATAATCTCCATTCTTACCTTTCTGAAGATTGTTTTCTTCCCGGTAAGGGCCCAGAACATTTACCTATCAAGCATGACCTAACTTCAATGTTCATGGGTATACTCCTGGGGAACTAAAGTGGTTTATAGCAAGAGATGTAGAATCCAGTAAGATGCATCCAGTTCCATGTCTCACCTTGGGAAAAAGCCACCCATGTAGGTCAAAGTATTGAAAGCCCAGATGGTACCTTTGTCATTCTCTAGATGGATCAACAGTCCTACCCTGAAGTAGGATCCACAGCTGAATTTCAACTACCACACACTCCCTGGGTCAGGAACCACCATGCAGGAAAGAGCATCATGGGCCATACACAAAAGCTCTTTATGCTTCTGGACCCCACCCCCCACCCCTGGCCATCTTCAGTCTGCATCTCCACCCTGGCTTCTAGCCAGCCAGGGAAACCCGCCAGTGTCTTTCAAAAGTCCCCTTTCTTTTGTTCCCAGGAGAAGCATTAGTGGGAGGTTCCACTGTCCACCGTGCCCTTCTACAGGGGAGGCCAGACCCTAACAGCAATCAATTGTACCTCCTATGACATTACACTTTGCCATCTGCCTGTAAACCAAAGCTATTGATCCATGCATCGTGTGTGTCCAGGGGTTGTTGTGAAGACTTAATAAGAACAGGCTAAGGATACGTGGCATGTTGTGGGAAAGCCTTGGAACACGGATGCAGGTCTCTTCACCTGCCCTGTCATAGGGTCTCGGAACCAAGGATCTGAGCTCTCAGTGGGTATGAATTCTGTTTCAATTCTGAATGGGCTCTAGAGTCCATGGCTCCCTTTGCTCTTGATCCTCCAAATAGCCTCCATTCTCCAGCTATCTTATTAACTAAGAAATTAACCTGCCCAATCAGCAGCCAAGCCAGGGTTTGAAAACAGGGCCCAGGATGCCAAATACAGGTTCAATTAAGACTAAGTTAAGCTCTGGCTAAACCTCAGGTCAACAGAGCCTGAAACATATGTGGAATTCCTGGCTTGTCATCTCTTGCAGGATGGCAGTATGAACAAAACCTAAATGCATATAGATTGGTCCTTAAGCACTTACCATGCGCCATCTTATTAAAAGCTCACAATATGCCAATATGCAGATGTTTAAATCTTCAATTTTAAGACAATGAGACTAAGCACACTTCTTCTTCTTCTTCTTCTTCTTCTTCTTCTTTCTTCTTTTCTTCTCCTCCTCCTCTGTTTTTTGAGACAGAGTTTCCCTGTGTAGCTTTGCAGCCTCTCCTGGAACTAGCTCTTGTACACCAGGCTGGTCTGGAACTCACAGAGATCCGGCAGCCTCTGCCTCTGCTAGGATTAAAGGGCTGCACCACCACTGCCCCACCAAGACTAAGTACACTTCTAAGGTGATTTAACATCCACAATGTCACACAAGTAGGAAAATAGGCAAGATTTATAGAACCTAGATCATCTTGGCTTTAGAGCCTATCCCCTCACTCCCTGTCACCAGAAATAGGCAGAGAGAGAGAGAGAGAGAGAGAGAGAGAGAGAGAGAGAGAGAGCTGGTACCTTCTTTTGGATCCTCCTGCTAGGAGCAACTGTGCTCACTGGGAAGCATCAAGAAGATACCTCTAGGACCTGGCAAAGGGACCCTGGATAGGTTGCTGGTCTTGGGTTTGTTTTTGTTTTTGTTTTGTTTTCCCAGCTTTTGCCAGCATGGATCTTTTTAGATTTTCCTTGATCCAGGAGTCACATTCTGCTTCCCAAATCTATCATCCCCTGGCAGCTTAAAAACAGAGGTTGAAGTAATCCTATGTGAGGGTTTCAGTCTCTGGTTTTCCCATTCTGGACAGGCTGGTGGTCTGTATATTCAGGAGGAACCATAACACACAACCTGACAGGGAGACAATGGAGGGGAAACTATCAAAGACTCTGTCATCTGCCATCAGGAGGAGATGGAGAAGATGGGGTGGAAGACTTCCCTACACAACACACACACACACACACACACACACACACACACACACACACGAACACTCCTTCAGCACCTGAGTCCTCTGTCAAGCTGAGCACAAAGCCTGATCTGTTGATACTTGCCCAGCATACAGCTAGTCTGCTTGGGTAGCACCCCCCACCCCAACTCTTCTCCCTTCTGCTTCAGCTAAGAGTATTAAGTGGATGGACCCCCATCCACTTAATAGGAAGTAGGACTTAAAAGGAAATAGGACTTCCTTTTCCTACCTTCTTGCTGTTGCCTTCTATCAGTAGTGTTTGGAAAGAGCAATAAGAGGGCACAGGAAAATTGAGATCTTGGAGCACCCTGAAGCCCTTTCCTGAAGTGTCCTAAGCTTGTTCCTCCAAAACATCCAGACCTCTGCCTTTGCTCCCATTAGAATGTCAGCATCCTGAAGTCTGCATCCTTGTCTAGACAGGATTTTGCTGACTGCCTCCCATCCTCCCTCCTCCATCCTCCTCACCTTTGCACCTTTGCAGGAGGAATTTTGCAGCAGTCCTCATACAGGCACCCTAGGAACAAGGACCCTGCAGGAGGCCTGCCAGGTCCAGCTCTCCTGCCCCCCTCTCCCCCCACCGCGCCCGCCGCCGCCGCCGTTTTTAAGCAAGAGAAAGGAGGACCCAAGGAAAAGCAAATTCTGAAAGCAAGTTGCAGAAAAGGCATTCCTAACCCAGGGTCGCAAGTTCAGTCTGAGAAGCCTCACAGGTACCCAGACACCCTGGTCTACTTGGAAACTGCATCGTGCATTAGGAAAGGCACATGTACAAGCCAGATTATGGTCCCTGTAACCCCGCAGTGTGGTTCAGTCGTAATCAGCACGAGAGGCTTTGTGAGAACGGGGAAGGGGGGAGAGAAATAGTTGTAGTGAGAAGTGGGAAAAGGAAAGGGAGCCTATAAGGAAAAAGCGGCTTATATTCTGTAGACAAGAGGGTCCAACTGAACAGATGAAAAGAGGGGAGGAAGAGAGGAGAAAGAACAATAAAAACAGCAGACACAAGGCAGCAAGGAGACCTAAGAAGGTGAGGAAAATAAAGAAAAGAGCAACTCGGAAGTTGCCAGGGGAGATGCCCCAGCGTCCTGCCTGAGGCCTGGGCCAGACGAAGACAGGAAACCAGTGAAAGCATAGGGGAGACCGAGAAGCAGATCGGGTCTCTAGGGACCAACCGAGAGTAGGAGAAAGGAGGGAGAAGGCACGGGGGTGGGCAAAGATAAAGGGAGCCACGGCAGCGCGGCCGGGAGCGCAGCGACAGGCGAGAGGGAGGGAAGCGGAAATTTAAAAGTGAAGATGAAGATAACGCAGCCTGGAGACGGGGACCCGGGTAGGGGGGAGGAAAGGGGCGGAGAGTAAGCAGTGAGAGACGGGAGGGAGAAGGTTGGAAAGAAGGCTCATGGGCTCATGGGAGGGGGTCCGAAGAGGGGCCAGAATTCTCGCCCCATCGATGTTTGCCGAGAGTCCGGGTGGCGGTAAAGAAACGAGCCCCCGTCTGTGCGGATACCGGGCCCATCCCCCGCGTGTCTCCCGGGCTGCGGGGCGCAGGGGGCTGCCGGGTGCGCTTGGCTGAGGCGCTGAGCGTTGGAGACTTTATTGCGATGGGAAGATAAGAGGGGCGGGGGCGGGGTCTGGGGGGCCGAGGCAGCCGCACTTTAATTAAAACGGAAATTGCGGCCCCTGCCCGCGCGGGGCCGGAGGGCTGCAAGCCGCCCTGTAGCTAGGGGCATCGCTCCAGGACCCCCTCCCTCCTCGCCACACCCTGGCTGCCCGCTCCCGCCAGGCCTTGCCGGACCCGGTAGCGTCTACTATTCCCCGTCACCCTGTCGCCTCGGGCGGGGATCGGCACCCCAAGCGCAAAGCTGACGTGCCCCCCCCGGAACGGTCCCCCCCATCTCCCACCGCCCAGTCCCCGGCAGCGATGAGACAGAGCGGCGCCTCCCAGCCCCTGCTGATCAACATGTACCTGCCAGGTACCAGGGACCAGCCGGGGGCTGGAGGCACCAAGACCCAGGGCGGGAAGTCTAGGCCGGGGCAAGGGGCAAGTTCGGTGGACCAAAGGAAGGGAATGCTTCCAGAGAATCGCTTTGTGGGTGTGTGAAAGGGACTGATGGTTGCAGTCTGGGGCATTCAGGGAACCTGCAAGGTATACAGCGAGCTCCGGGGTTTCAGTGTGGGTCTGCATAGGACCCACAGACCTTGCAGATTCGGGGTCCTAGGAGGCTGCAAGCAGGGATCTTTGGCTTGGTGGTCTCCAGACTCCAGCTTTGCCCGAAGGCTGTAATCCGCTGGGCGTTGTCCTTGCGCCCTCAAGGGTCCTCACCTTCGTCCTCCGAGCATTCACACCGGCCGGCCGAGCCTTCCAAGCGCCCCCTTCCTCTTTACAAGGGGCGCCGCTAGCTCAGACTCGGCTGGCACAATCCCCTCTGGGTTTTATAAGGCTCCAGACGGCCCCTTCGGAAAGCGGATTTCCTTTTTCCTGGACGCGTTTCCTGACTTGGGCGTTGCGGAGGGGCTCTGCGCCTCACGCTTAGCAGTCTAGCTTGGAGAGGAGGAGCTGGGTGGTCCGGACCCCCAGAACACTGCTGCCCGGGGTCCTTTCGGTCAAACCTGCAACTTCCGCCTAGGTCTGCTTGATTGTTTTCTTCTGCACTGCAGATCCCGTCGGAGATGGTCTTTTTAAGGAAGGGAAGAACCCGAGCTGGGGGCCGCTGAGCCCCGCGGTGCAGAAAGGTGAGCTGGCGGGTACACTGGGTAGATGGAGATGGCCGTAGTAGATGGGGCAGGGATAGGTACCCTAATAGGACAGGTACCCCTGCCACTAGACAGAGGGGCAGAGAGGTCTGTACCCCACATTATGGAAAATTGTAAGGCTGTGGGCAGATTGTACAGAGACATTAGGAAGACATTGATTTGGTCTTGGACTGACAGGTAAGACTAAGGGGATCTTGGCCTCCAGACTTTTTTCTGTCAAGGGTGGTTTTCCAAGCTTTCAAGCTGTGATGGTAAGCATCCTTTTTGTACCGGAGCAAAGACATAGCGCTTCCTGGCGGGGTGGGAGTGGGGGTGTAATCATTTTCCAGCCACCCTAGGATACCGTACCCTAAACCCTTAGTGGGCACTTCCTGCTACCCCTGATGAACCTTCTGACTCTGCCAACCACGCCAGCCTTGGCGTTGTGTTTGATACCTAGGTTTGCTGTCACAGGCAACTAGCCTGTCAGTCAATCACCGTGTTGATGACTGGCATTTCAACTCTTTCCCATAGCCCCCCCCCCCCAGCCAGTGCCTTAATCTCACAAGAAGTCACAAAGATGAGATTGGCAACTGCTCCCCCCACCCCGCCCAAGGAAGGGACCATAACACCCAACAGGGGTGGAGGTCCAAGTCTCTGTTGTTCCCACTTGATGCTGGATGCACCCTTTAGACCAAAGTTCCCCATACTTCTGCTCTCAAACCAAACCAGCTTTTCACCAGTCTGGTTTAGAGGAACTGGGGTTAAAATTGTGGAAGAAAGAAGCTTTTGGGTTCTGAATGAATGGCAACGAAGAGGGAGGAGAGACTCTTCAGGCTCCACCCGCGGCAAATCCGTTTTATTCTAAAAAGGAATGGGCTCAGCTTGTCAAGATTTTTTGTCACTTAAGGCCTCAAAGCGGGAGAGTGTGAATTCAGGGTCACTCACCACCAGCATATCCAGGGAGAACCTCCCTGTCACTGCCAGCAACCCTGAGATTTACAGGAAGACCCGCCAGGGTTCCCACACAATCCTTTTACAATGCTACCTCTTTGCTCCGAGTTGCCCTCTAGCCCTCCCCCTTCTTCCCCAGCAGCACAGAGGTTAACACACGCGAAGGTGGTGAGGACAGGGAGCCTCTCTTCTTGTCTGCCATGGTGCTACTTCCAGCCAGGCCCGTTTTACTGTCTACCTTTGGGTGGTAGGGACTGTCTGGTGCTTGAATGAGTGCAGGCAGGAATCATCAACTACGAGCACTCCTGCCCTTTCGGCCCCGGATCTCTGGACAGGACCCCGCCTGGTTGAGCAGTTCAACCTTGCTGCACCCGGCTGTCTGGCACCGCTGTTCACTCTCGGTCCTAAAGGAGGGAGACTGGCTCAGGAGGATGAGAGAGTCTGATGTCTAGCCCTTACCTAGGAAAGCCTAGAACTATGATCTGCCACTGCTTCTCCACGGAGGAGACAATGCTGCTCCACACCCAACCAACCACAAAACAACGTGCTCTAGCTCCTCAGAAATGAAAGACGTTTCCATTGTGCTCTGCTGGTCCACACTGGTTGGCCTGCCGCCTCCTGCTGTTCACAGGGGTGCAGTCAGAAGTGCCCTTGTCCTCTCGGATGGGAATTGGCAGTGGCTTGGTGTTCACAGGGGCGCAGTCAGAAGTGCCCTTGTCCTCTCGGATGGGAATTGGCAGTGGCTTGGGGTTGTTTTCTCGCTTCACCTCCCTGTCCCTAGTTCCAACCTGCCCTGGCCTTCCGTGGCTGACCGCTCCCCTTCCCCACAGGCAGCGGGCAGATCCAGTTGTGGCAGTTTCTACTGGAGCTGCTGGCAGACCGCGCAAACGCCGGCTGCATCGCGTGGGAGGGCGGCCACGGCGAGTTCAAACTCACCGACCCCGACGAGGTGGCAAGACGCTGGGGCGAGCGCAAGAGCAAGCCCAACATGAACTATGACAAGCTAAGCCGCGCACTGCGCTACTACTACGATAAAAACATCATGAGCAAGGTGCA